ACACACACACACACACACACACACACACACACACATCACCAGCAGCAGCTCTGCTGTTTCCCATTGGATCAAGTACAATCTTCTTAGTCATTAACATATTATTTTGTTCATGCACTGCTGTACTATTTGATTCTCCACATTCAAAATATTTTCAGATCATAGCAACCAAAGGTTCACATTTCTCTCATTTTATAGCACAGCATCTTAGAGCTGGAAGGAGCTTTAGAAACTAATTCAACCCCCTAGAAACATGTGGTTTGCCCAGGTCTCCCTGTAAAGGAGACACAAGACAGGGAACTATTAGGTTCTCTGTGTCTGGGAGATCTTTGCCCTGCACCACGGCCACCTTTGCCCTTTCTACTTCTCTTGTGAAATGACAGAAGGTTACTGGGGACATGGTTTTAACCCTGGGGACTTAGAAAAGATCACCTAATATTTCTGGGTCTTCCTTTGATGACCTGGAAAGATGAGGGTTAGATTTTCAAATATCTGCAAATTTTGTAACAGTAGTCAATTCTGGCATCCTGTGTCAGGTCAGGGATGGTGAGCAGAGAGGTGTCCATCATCTCACTTGTGTCCTCTGCTATTCTTGGGAATTGGAAGGCCTCACTCCTAGTAACACTCTAAGTATAGACAAATTTCATCTTTAGATGGGAGAGCATTTAGTTTGTTTTCCGATGACTTGATGCCCTATAGGATGCCAAACTCTAAGCCCTGAGTATACAGAGGAGCTCAGAGCAGTGGGAGGAATAGAAAAACAAACACACAGGAGAATAACACAGGGGTGATGAAAATGCTTTTAATAAACTCAATCAGCAATGCATTGGGAGTAAACATTTACTCAATGCCTACTATGTGCCTGGCACACAGTATGTACTTAGTACGATTTCTTTAAAAAAGAATGAATTAGGGCCAAGAAAAGGGTAGGTGCAAGGAGCTGTGGGCACTTTGAGGGAAGAAGAAATTAATCTGACTAGTGGGATGTAGATAAGAAGGTCTTCACCTAGCAGGAAGGGGTCTTAAGTGGAGCCTAAAAGGAGGAGAAGAAGTCAAGGGGGAGAGAGGGAGTGAAGACATTCCAGGCAGAGGAAGTTGGGATTGGGTGTGGTCAGAACATCAAGCTGGCATAAGGCACACGTGGGTTCAGCTCAAGATACTCAACCCTCAGAGCCTTCAGTATCCTCATCTACAAAATGGGATAACAATGCTGACCACCCCGCCACCCTGTGACCTCCCAGATTGTTGTAGGGATTAAATAAGATCACATATTTGATTTAATTAGCAGTTGTGTCTGACTGATGGAAAGTAGTTTACAACAGTACTTCTAAAACTTTACTGTGCCCAGTAGTCCCCTGGGGGGATCTTGCTAAAATGCAGATTCTGATTCAGTTGGTCTGAGGTGAGGCCCAAGAGTCTGCATTTCTAGGAAGCTCCCAGGTAATGTTCGTAATGCTGGTCCATAGACCAATCGGCATAGCAAGGATTTCAGAAGCCAGTGAATAAGAGCGTGAACTTTCATGTCAGAGAGTCCTGGAATGGAATCCCACTTTCTCGGTGTAAGCTGTGTGTCCCTGGGGAAGTTACTTCTCCTTTCGGAGCCTTGGCCATATCATTAGTGACATATGGGCAATAATAAGTCCTACCTAATAGAGCTGTGCAAAAAGGGAAACAAATTAATGGATATACACCACTTAGTGGAGTGCCTGGCAACAGCGTAGTAGCCTGTAAAGAGTACCTAGTGTTAAAGTGTGGGAAGATGGGGCTTCCCTGGTGGCACAGTGGTTGAGAGTCCGCCTTCCGATGCAGGAGACATGGGTTCGTGCCCCCGTCCGGGAAGATCCCGCATGCCGCGGAGCGGCTGGGCCCGTGAGCCATGGCCGCTGAGCCTCCGCGTCCGGAGCCGGTGCTCTGCAACCGGAGATGCCACTGCGGTGAGAGGCCCGCGTACCACAAAAAAAAAAAAAAAAAAAAAAGCGTGGGAAGATGGGACTGGAAAGAGAGGGACCTGGAGTCCAAATTGTGGGGACCATGATTTTATTTTATTTTTTGGCTGCGTCACACGGTATGTGGGATCTTAGTTCACTGACCAGGAACTGAACCCAAGCGCCCTGCGGTGGAAGCGCAGCGTCTTAACCACTGGACCACCAGGGAAGTCCCTGGGGACCTTGACTTTAAGTCTTATTCCGTAGCTAGGGGAGCCATTGAAGATTATTAAGAGACTGATATGGTCATAAAAAAATAGCAATTACTATGTGCCAGGCACTGTGCAAAATATGTATCTTTCAAATAAATTCATATAATCCTATTAGAAAAATTATTATTATCCTCATTTTGCAGGTGAGAAAACTGAAACACAGAGAGGTTCAGTAGCTCACTCTAGGTCACCCAGCTGCTAAGTAGAAGAGCCAGGATTCAAACTCAGACCATCTGACTCCAGGGCTTGCCTGCCTGCCCACCTTGCTATACTGCCTCGGTTGATAATGCTAGAAAGGGGCATTAGAAAGAAACAGAATCCCCCTTGTTTAATAATTTATCCATTCAACAAACATTTGCTGAATGCCTAGCATTGTGCTGAGGGTCAGAAGCCACTCATTCATTTACCAAATCCATATTGAGTTGTAACAAGCGCAAGGCCCTGCTCTAGGTGCTGAGGTACAGCTCTGAAAAAAACCAAGTTCTTGCCCATGTGGAGCTTACATTGAAGTGAATGACTGCGATAAGGATTTTGCTCTCAAGGACACAAATATTATGTGACACAAGTTAGAATAGGACAGAAGGTTAGAATCAGAGTAGACTATTTTAGTCACAGTTCGCAGTGGAAAAGAGCTTTCCCAGATCTAACTGCTATGAAACACACAGTGGTCTTTTCCTGATAGTTCCCTGTACATACCAATGACTTATCTATTCAGCCAACTTTTTTGAGCAGTTGACGTGTACTAGATAACATGCTTGCCACTGAGAATAAAAAAGAGGAATCAGACGTGATCGTTAGCTGCTCTGGTGGCTCCCTTGGTTTAGCTGGGAGTCAGATACCCACAGCCTTCTTTACAAGGCAGGGTGACGAGTGACACAGTGGCATTCACAGAGGGGTTAGAGGCTATGGACGCACTGTCACATACACTTATCTAATTTGGTCCCCCCAATCTTTGGAAGTAGGTTGTGAAAGGGACTACTGTAAGGTCCTGCAGATGAACATGTTGAGGCCCTGGGAGGTGAGACGGCCTCTTCAAGGTTATCAGCCAGTGGAGGTGCTGGGACACACATCCCTGAGGCCTGATCCCCTGTGCATTATTAGTGAGATTTTTTAAACACCTTACCAGCCCATACACTGATTTCTTTTAGACACAGGCCCAATTTACCTTGTGTCTGTGGGCATCCCATGCAGTGGTGACTCCCTAGGAAAGCCTCTGGTCCTCTCCCGGTCCCTCAAGTCCTGGATCTGGTGCTTCCCTGAGCTGGGGGGCCCATCGCGGTTGCATTCCTTCCAGCTTCGGAAGCCACCTTGCCCAAGGTGACTGGGCCTTCCTGAGAAATTGTGCCTCCTCCTCCAGTTCCCCTTAGGCCTCCTTCTCCTCCGGCATTCACCTCCGCCTCTGCCTGGGCCCTTGACTGTCACTCGCCTTCCCCTCGCCCAGCGCTCACTGCCCGCTGGGTGTGCAGTTGAGATCTGACCCCTTGGCGTTTACCGTCATTGTAGCTGCGGTTCATCCCTGTTTGCGTCTATTTCCCTAGGTCCTGGGGGCTTTCTCACGCCTCTATGAGATTCGTGCTTTGCTGCCTATTCCCGGAGAGGATGACAGAGGAAGAGGAGGTGATTGTAGCTGCGGCCGTGGAGGAGGGGTGTAGATCCTGGGACTGAACTAGCTGAGCGGCCTTCACCTCCGACCCACTCTGCAGCCCCGAGAAGTGAACACACCCGAGGCTTCTCCCCTGCCATTCACGACATATCTCGGGCTTTCATCTGTTCGTTCAGGAGTGATTTATTGCACGCTGATTCTGGACTAGGCAAGTACCTGCCCTCCCCGACCTCCAGACCTGGGGACTTGGTTGTATCTGCAACTTTGGAAGCCTATAGACTCCTCTCCCCGCTGCTTCACAGCTGCCCTTGCTTCCCGACACCCCGACTCCCTGACCTCTCTGCACCTCCCGCCACTCCTTCTCCGCCTCTTTTGTCCATCCCTTCAACGTTGGTGTCCCTCAGCGCTCGGCCTTGGCCTCGTTGTTTAGACCTCACACGCTCCTTGGGTGCTCCCACCCCCCCTAGGGCTCGAAGGACTCTCCCAGTCCTCTCTCAGCCCCAGGACTTTCTCCTCTGCTCCATACCAGTTGATCAGGCTGCCTGCTGGCCATCTCTGCTCAGACGCCCCACAGGCACCTCTGAGGCAGCATGTCTCAAAGGAATCCCTCACCCTCTCCTCCTCTACCTGCTCCCACTACATGTCCTTCTGGGTCCCTCTCCTCCAGAATGACACCACTACCTGC